TGTACATTAAGGTCATTTGGGGTGCGTCGAGAAGCTCCTGGAACATGGAGCTGATGGTGAGATGCGCATGGCAGGAGGATGGACGCCAGCTCACTGTGCTGCTGAACATGGCAGCGCGGCAATATTGCAGGCTCTTGCTGAAAATGGGATTAGTGTAACAAAAAAGGACAACACTGGAGACACACCGAAACGAGTCGCACAGATCTATGGGCACAAGGGCTGTGTAAAATTTTTTGAAAGGTGAGAATAGTTTTTTTTTTGGTTATTTTGACTAAGATTGGTCCGCTATTGCGTGAAACTTAAATCCTGGTTTGACAAACGATATTTCCCACTTAAATAGAAACTCGAGAAAAAACAAAATATGCCGACGAAAGTGGAAAAAAAAAGAGGTCCCAGCCGACAAAAACGCCACCTTAGTTCTGTCCTTGATCTGCACGTAACGTATTTTCTGCGATGTACGCCATTTCGTGAGCCGCAGTGAAGAAAACTGCAAGAGTGTAAATGTGAACGATTCATTGTTTCCAGTGAAAATCAATACTTTCTTTGAACTCAATCTGTGGGTGATTGATGGCTTTGACGGCAACCAATTGATGCTTCAAAAGCTTGAGTTAAATGTCAAATTCGGGGGCTACGGTTCACAAGGTTATTATCTCTTGGGTTCACGCAGGACACTAACAATATTAATGACAGTTAATACTTCTATGCCTCGAAACAACAAAAATACGGGGGTTGAAAATAATTGTGTTTCTCTAGACTGAAAAGTTTTTACGGTACCTGAAATGGTGTGTATACGTAAGTTCACGACACAAGGATTAAAGCCTCATTAATTTACCAATATACTTAGCACATCCTCAGCTTGGCGAAAAAATTATTTTATGCATCTCTTGTTCAATTTTTTGGACAACGAAAAAGAATAAACAGATGGTTTTCGTTCCAGATTAGAAAATAAATTTAAAGAAGAAAAAGCAAATGGGTCGGAAACTGAGGATGAAAGCAGGACGACCACGCCCATCTTCAACCTCGATACGATGAAGAGGCTCGAGACAGAAGCAGATTCCCAAACGGGACAGTCAGCAATGGAAGGAGAAACAAGTGAGGAGGAAATTGAAAACAATCACAACTCAAGGGTCACATTTTTATTGACATGAAACAGAAGTGTGATACAATCTTCGTGCATGGTAATTCTGGGGACTATAGTTTTGAAACCTCTCCTCAAGAAAACTCAATTTGGAAACTTGGAAGAGAGAAAAATACACACAAGAATGAGAGATGTAGTCTCCAATGAGAATGACAACCATTGAATATTACAGCAGTGTTCACTTTCACATACTTTCTTAGAATCCTAGTGATACTTGGAAAATTGTTTTCAGAATTTCTGGAGGGAAATGTGAGTGATTTTAAGTCAGATCTGTGAAAAAGCCTTCTGGCAGTTGTCTTGATACTCTACACCAGAATGAATCCTACATGTTTCTCATTTCTTATTGGTGATATAGCTAGCAGTAGTTTTGTGTTCATGAGATGAGGCAAGTTTTACAAAGACCTTCACTTCTTTACAAAGCAACACTTCAGTACACCCAAAAATCAAATTTAGCTGTTCCCCAACAATCCATCTTGCGGTGAAAGCTAATATTCTGAGGTAGAACTTCTCATCTGGACACTGTGAATTTAGATAGGAGCTCAACAATGTCATCAAGTCCTAAATCCTCAGCTAAGCTCATGGGTGTCACAGTGGCAGGGATGCCCATCTTAACGCCCACATCACATTTTGCCTCTAACATTACTGAGACCATTTCAGCATTACCTGAGAAAAGGGAACAATTTATTCAAATAGAGGAAATAAATATTTTAATAAAATTTACTTTCTACTGCCTGCAGAACAGCCATGACCTTTTTTTTAGTATTTATAGTGCTGTTTTTTAAGTGGCACTGCAGCACAGGGCTTGAAATAATGGCGGGTCAACACAACAGATAATCAATGTCCAGTCAACTATGAGTTTTGTCTGGTCCTCTCTTCCAATGGCCACACATTTTTTCCAATAGTTCATGTATGGGGGGGGGAGGGTGGGATTTATAGAGATATGAGGTAAAGGATATTTGTCAGGCCAAAAATGGGTTATGGCTGAGCAAAATTAGGAAAAAAGGTTTAACCAGACAATTTGACTGGTGCCCCAAATAAATTATTTCAAGCATTGCAGCACATGTTACTGACTCATGCCCCTCCCTCAGCTCAACTTCTGCCATCTTCTTGGGTGTGGTCTTCGATTTTATTTTTTGGAGAGGGGAGCTCATGTCCTGAACAGCAGCTGGTAATTGAGCCTCACTCTCCCCTCTCACAAAAATGCAAACATATCAAAATGGAACTGACTAGCAGCCTTCTTGAGCATTTAGGTCTCAGTCTCTGCAACTGGCTAATTTTTGCATTCTTCTGATGATATACCACTCTTTACTAACACCACTTACCACTCATTATCGCAAGATGAAGTGGTGTTGCTCCTTCACATTCAGGATTCCAAGCATTGATATCTGCTCCAGCATTAATCAACACCTTCACCAGGGTGATATTACCTGTATTCACTGCTGCATGAAGGGGAGTGTTCCCAGAAGGTGCCTTTTCATTGATATCCACTCTTGGATTCAGCTTTGAATGCAAAACATAAAAAGTAAAATGTGTAATCCAAGATTAGAGAGACAAACCGGTGAATTTTTAATCCCTGGCCTGACTTCTATGTCCTTATGTTCAGGGTGAAGTCTTGCAGTTTCGACACCACAGGACAAGATGACCAATCAGGCCTAGGTTTTCTCTCCTCCCCTCCCCTCCCCCCAGTTCCTTTAAATTCTACCATAACAACCCTCCTCACTTTGAAAAAATGCATGTTCCTTCCACTTTTTTCAACATTGTCTCATGGACAGCCCTCATTTGATCTGGGCATACAACTCATTCTCTCTTGTAACCTTAATAATCTAAAAAAGCTGGCTACAACAACACACACATCTGCTCCCTAACATGCTTCTCTCCAGCTTGCTTGCCTGATGATCAATGACATTAACCACAACAACAATAGAAACAGTAGCAATACACCTAACATTTCACTACCTTCAATAGATAACTCAGGATGTTTTCTTTGCTGCTGAGAACAGATACAAAAACAAGGCTTTTACCACTGCTGTCCTTAAGGGTGTTATGCTGTAAACCATAATTCTTCAGTAAATAATCAAGGACATCTGGAAGGTTTTTCCGTACAGCTTGAAATGCAAATTCAGTTGCTATAGTAGTAAGAGTTTTACTAACAAGAAAATTTTCTTTAAGGTCTTTGTAGCTACTTCTGTTGAATGCCTGCTTGTAAAATTCCAGTACCCCTGAGCATATATTCACAACTGCAAATGCTCTTGTTGCTAATATAAGTTGCACATATTGCTTGTTTGATGTTGAACACTGAACATCTGAGAGAAGGGCACGGTAAGTGTTTTTCTTTCCAGAACACAAACACAGTAAAATTTTGAGGAAGAAATCTTTAGTTTCAGAGTTATGAAACTTTTCCGGGTATTCCCAAAACACAGATCTAGCAAAGGCATCAATATCTTGACTCGAAACAGATCCTCCGTCCAAGCCAGCTCCAAAAGCAAATTTGATTTCCTCCATTGAAATTGTGAACTCCATTTCTATAAGCTCTCTTTGTTTTGATCTTGGCATTTCAGACAGCCAAAAGTGGGCAAATTGAATAAAATTGTCACTAAAATGCAACCACGAGGTCAGTTGTTGAATTGAAGTATTCGCTCTTGTTAGCCAATCACTGACGACAGTTGCGTCCATGTAAAGAAGAACAGAATCAAAATTAGGTTTCTGTCGTTTAGTATCCTTCCTTCGGGCCCCATAGTCGTTTGCATTTTGGGAGCGAACTGTTGGTGAATTCCGACCAGAAAAAGATGGGCTAGATATAGCACTTGATGAGGCACCAATCGGCGGTAATGGTGACCCTCTGTCTGAAGATCCAGGGCTTAATGGAGGACTGTCAGGCTTTCCCTTAATAGGTAAAGGTTCTAAGTCCTTATTACGTCTCTTTGGTAGAGCAGGCTGCGAGACTTCAAGTGGAATGTCACCAAAATCTTGCAATGATTCTGGACTACTACTATGATACAGTTCCTCTTCCTCATCGTCATCACGATATGACAATCTGGAGACGTTGATAAGTTCTCGCAAATCTTTCACACTACGAGTCATCTTCTACGAAATCACCGCAATGAATATGGTAACATAACTGTTATGTTGAACGTAGCAACCACCGAAGCTTTTCCGCCATTTTGAGTTGTATATTAAACTGAGGGGTACTGGGTTGAATACCCAGAATGCCTGGCGGACCATTGATATATATTAACACCACGTGTCTCCTTTCTTTCTCTCTCGCCGCCATTTTGTTACAGAGATCTGGCTCACCGCTGTTCATTAAAGAATAAGTCGGCCAATTTTAAGCATGGTAGGTTACCAGCATTTTATAAAGAGAAGTTAAGGTTAAAGCTATACCGAAGAAAACAATAAATGGTTGATAATTCGTCAGATCGTTCATTTTAGACGAGAACGCTTTAGTTCTTACCGGATGTTATCTCCCTTTAAACGTAATTTCGTGTTCAACCTACTGATTTTTTGGAATTGAAGCCTTCCTTTCCTTATGGAAACCGTATTAATTCATCAAACATTCAATGTTCCTCTTGTAGCTTGGTGTATCTTGTTTGGAAATCATTCCATTGTTTTAAAGTGTCACCTTACGAGGTCTGCTCACGAAATGAGAATGTTAACCCTTTAAATCATAATTTTTCAAACCTGTGAGGAAATTATCATGAAAGTTTCATAGAATAAATGTCTTGATAAACTGAATCTTCTGCTGAAATTTTCCATTATCTAAACCAAAATTAACTTCCCTTTGTTAGTGGAACATTTTAATACCAACCCTTGACTTTTCAATCTTTAAATTTTCTTTGAACCAATTTCTTTTTCCTCAGAAAGATCACAGAATATTGGAATGCACCCAATTCAGTGATAATATAGTTGATGTTTAACCCCTAACATTAAACTTTCTGAAATTATCAACCTGGAATTTCATGTTTTTATTTCAACATGTCATCCTAGAAACAGGTCATCAGTACTGACAAGCTTTTCTCTAGAGGGTCTAATTTACAATGATATGTTAATGAGGCCTAATGTCAAACCACAAATTGGATCTGATAAGCTAGAGATTTGATATTTTTTTTGCTTTTTAGTCTCACTATAAGGAAAAAAGTGCTGTGCCAGAAGAAGAGGCTCAGATCCACAGGATCCGTATCACTCTCACAAGCCGAAATGTGAAAAGTTTGGAAAAGGGTCAGTGCTAGTGTTAACTCTTTCTTGTGGTATATGGGGGGGGGGGCTTTTTATTATAAAATGTATATAGTATGCATCTTAATTTTTGGTGAAAATCCAATGATGTTCAAAACTGAAACTGATGCAGCCTTTCACATATAAGTGTACTTTGTACTGCCATGCTGCTTAGCCAAAATAAATGACAACAATTTTCAGTTTTTGGTATGGAACAAAGGAGGGCGCACAAAATTATTCGTGGTACCCAACTATCATTTGTTTTAGAAGCCTTTTTAAAATTTCTTGTTCTGTCCATCACCACACCTCTCATCTGCTAATTTTGGGGAAAGTAAAGAGAACATTTTAGACATAAACAGTGAGATCCATCTTAACTCCTCCTAGTTAACCTTCTATTACCAGCCACACACAAGTTGTCACTATTTTGCTCGTTAGCTTCTATTCTAAACCTTCTCTTCTATTCCTAAGTGTGTGCTGATCTGATCCGTGGAGCTAAGGACAAGAAGCTCAGAGTGAAGGGTCCAGTCCGAATGCCAACAAAATACCTGAAGATTACCACACGTAAGACTCCCTGTGGAGAGGGCTCCAAGACTTGGGACAGGTTCGAAATGAGGATCCACAAGCGTTTGATTGATCTTCACAGTCCATCGGAGATTGTCAAGCAAATTGTATCCTTTACTTTTATCTTTGAAGATGGGGTTGATACAATTTTTGTTTTGTTTGTTGGATTATTAGTTTAAAAAAAATGGCTTTGATAATCTTTTTTACTGTGTAAGGGCTGGTTTATACATAAAATGCAGCCACAGCAGATGTATCACAGTCAAACCGTGATTATCTGGAACTGGATTATCCTGATTTTTGGATTATTTGGACTTTTCTTTTCTGGTACCACTATCTACATTATCAATATTCATACTTTTGATTATTTGAAGTCTTGATTATCCAGACTGTGAAGCCCTGTCCCTTGAGTCCAAATATTTGAGGTTCAACCATATTGTGCTAGTGGTTAGTTTGGGCATATCTACTTATCCTTGGGTTGTATGCATTTTGGAAATACAGCTATCTGTTTGTGTGTCTTTGTCTTCACTAACCACCTTGAGTGTTACATGTGAACTATTAACTGATGGTACTGCTCAGGGGTTTAATGAAGCTTTTTTCATAAGCCGCTGCTGTGAGTGTTATAGCAAAAGCAAACACTAAACAGGAGAGCTTGCTTGAAAGCCAAACAGACAGTGGTAAGAACTTCTGTATGCAGCACTGGAATGCTGGTAACTTGCTATTAATGGAACTCCTGTTACTACCTTAAGTTTTTGTCAATAAGTTTGCTCAATTTTTATTTTTTTCCCTTGACCCATCATTATTCAGACATCCATTAGTATTGAGCCTGGTGTTGAGGTTGAAGTGACCATTGCTGATGTCTAAATGGTGTAATAAATAAAACAACAACCAATAAAATGTTGACAAAACTGAAACTTAATTCTTAATTTTTTCTTTGATGCATGGAGTTTCATCAAGGATCTGAGATCTGCAAGATCTGGGGGTATTTTCACTGAGGGGGGTGTGCAGAGTATAGCCTAAGTTGCCTTTGATGCAACACTAACTACTTGTGTTTGCAGTGAAATGCTATGAAATGCCAAGCAACCTCCAAACTAACCCCTCAAACCCTGACATCAGTATGCATATTCTCCATACTGTTCTCTATACATTCCCTGAGGTGCTGACAAGGAGAATTTTTGTTTTCACATTCTGGCTTCTTTACTTGATTATCATTTCCCATATTCTTGTGACAGTCATGGTTGATTCAGGGGTGATACAGTAAGGAGAAATAAAATGTTCGTCACTTTTAGGAGTTTAAGTGCTAAGTAGCGTGTACTTACTAAAACACTATGAGAGGAAGCAAAGTTAGCGGCGTTCTCTGATGATTGTGATGGAAACTAATAATTTTGCCTCCACTAATCAACCCGGCACACAAAGAGTTGATATCTGGGCACGTTGGCCAGACAAGCCACCGCTTATTTAATGCAAAATCGATATGCTTAAAAAGGTCTTTTGGGATCGAAGTGAATTAAATGCACCAAAGCCGGACTCGAAAACCCCTAAAAACCAGCAGGTGGAAAAAACGGGGAACGCGTACCCCCAACCAGAGCTGCGAAGCCACCCTTGGGGTTTTAGGGTATCCTATGAATGACATGTTGTACACAGTCACCTAAGGTACAAAAGATACGAAAACGAAAACGAACAATTAAACACGGCGAAGGCTGACCGTAGAATGCCTTGCCTCACAAACCACGATCCCATAACTCTCCACGCTCTGATAAATGCCGGCAAAACATTAATATATGCTAATTAGGATTGCCACAAATTTACAAGCATTATTATAGTACAACACGAAATTATAGGCTATCCTTTTAATGAATATCTCAAGCTAGATAGCGTATGTCATTCAGCAAACAAGGGAGGTCTTGAAACTTCAAACGGATTTCTTTTTTACTGTTTTCAAGTGACTTGAAAGAGTTGTCATCAGTAATGAAAGAAATACTATGCGAAAACAGATTCTGCCTTTGAGTACGGTAAATGCCTTCCTTGAATAGACACCGCATTGGAAAATTCCTTAAAAACCGCAAAGTTCATTCGAGAAGATCCGCTAATCTTGGTTACCTGTATTTTTTTGAGAAAGGAAAAAAAAACGAGTTTTAGGCATTGTTACTCAGTAAGGCGGGAGTAACGAGCTCCTACATAAAGCAATGATATCTTGATTTCTCATTCGTTGCATAAATTAGATGGAAAACTTACCTCTTCTTTGCAAAATTTATTTGCACCTTGAAATGTACACATTCAATAACTCTTCAAATCAATAGGGGCTCAAATGTTTATTTGCATTAAAACCATGCCACATGAACGCAGTGCAAATTAGCAATATCACTCAGATCTCGGAAAACATTTCTGACAACAGGTGAAACACTTAAAATTCTTTGTTAATTCTATTTAATCGTTTTCTTTTTTACCGACATTATTTGACAAGCTGTTGATTGGATAAGAAAAGGACCTAATAAAAGTGTACAATAACGCTCCAATAAAGCTGTCTTTATTGTAACTTCGAGGAAATTAATTTTATTTTCGTTTAAATCCCAGTGGATGAACCGGAAGTTTGGTCGAATTTGTATCATTTGAACTCAGGTTCCGCGCACACTCACTTAAATCATGGCACATTTTTTTTCGAAAAGCGAGTAGTGTGAAATGTATGCAACTTTTACGCAAGCTAACAGACAAGGCATCAGTGATCGCCACGTTAGTTTTTCCCTCCTGATGCAAAGTTTAGAATCTACTCGTGGAAACGGAAATACAGTCAGCACTTTTGCCGTGGTAGGGTATGTCACATGACTTTTTTTCACCCAATAGGATTTAGCCGCGTCCAGGCCGCGTGGATGTTCAACCGAAGCACATGAGTCTTGAACAAAATGCGGTGAAATCCTCACGACAGTTTTGAAGCTTTAGAGAAAATTCTCACCAGAATGCACCACATTTAAACTTTGAACTGGAAAAAAAACACTCGCAGTTTCAAGTTTTTATTCTAAAGGGAAAGAAATAGCTGAATTCGCATAGTATCCTCGTTGAACAAAATGGAACTAGCGCACACATTACCGGCGTCGGAAGTCTTAGATCACTTTTCTGTTGACGAAACGAAGGGTCTGAGCTTAGAGGAGTTATCTAGTGCGCAGAAAAAATATGGACCAAACGGTAAGAAATATTTTGTTCAGCTGTAACAATTTAACCACTTTTGCTGCACCTTTGATGATATTTATCCAGATATATGATAGCTTTTGTATGATTTATATTCTATCATGCACTACCATCTGAGGGCTATATGTTGTAATCTTTGGTTAATTTTGAACATCAGTGAGTGGGTTCTAATGTATATTTTTATTGTTTCTTTTTTGGTTCAATACGACAGAACTCCCAGCCGAAGAAGGTAAGAATGCTTTTTGAACGCACGGTCGTGATCATTTGTCCCTTTGCTTTGAGTTTGGGGTCGCTTTTGCGTTTGCGTTACGAGATCAGCTGTTCTCAACACATGGTGCTTTTAATTTTTAGGCAAGCCTTTATGGAAGTTGGTATTAGAACAGTTCGATGATTTACTCGTAAAAATTCTTCTTGGAGCCGCAGTGATTTCTTTTGTAAGTTTATTTGCTCGGTACAAACACTCATGTGCTTGTTACAATAATTTGATGAGCTTCACATCATAGTTCACGTTAATTTTGTTTTTTCGTTTTCCAGACTTTGGCTTTATTCGAAGAAGGAGAGGACAGAACTACAGCATTTGTAGAACCATTTGTTATCCTTGTTATTTTGATTTTAAACGCAATTATAGGAGTATGGCAAGTAAGTATAGATTCTAAATTCTTGCTTTCGACATCTCGGTGGGAAACCATTTTACATGTATGCAACTGACAAAAAATTGATGGCGATGATTTTTTTTTTTTTTTCAGGAAAGAAACGCCGAAAGCGCAATCGAAGCCTTAAAAGAGTATGAACCTGAAGTAGCCAAAGTTTTAAGGCAAAACAAACCAGGAATTCAAAGAATTAAAGCTCGGGATTTGGTTCCGGGAGACATAGTAGAGGTTGCAGGTGAGTTAAAACCAGGGGGGATTATGGAAGTCTCAAGTTATTTTACGCTCGCTTGGAGATAACCGTGACTTCCAGCAGAAAAATTGAATGAGGGGTTACCTTTATAAATGTTTACGTCCACTCCCAAGAAAATCGGATTGTAATTTCTCGCCCTTAGCAAACAGTAGTTAAATTGGCTTGAAATAAGAAGGGAAATGTCTAGTTTCGACTTGTTTGCATTCTCATCTCCAAACAGTAAGGCAACGTAATCCAAAAACTACCAAAGTTTTAAATCCAGGAAAAAATTAGTCGCTAAATGGATATTGTATTCTCGTGTTGTGATTCTTGAAGCATAAGATTCCTAAAAGCCTTTTATCGTTGAGTGGGATCATGCATTTTGTAACAACATGCAAAATTAATGTAGTTTTATTCTGGGTTTAAGAGTTAAAAATATCCTTTATTGTATGCAGTTCAGGGACTAGGAAATTTTCAGGAAATTGTGGAAATGTGGGCAGTTAATGGCAATTTTGAAAGCTGAAATTGTCGTGGTTGTTTTGTGCTTGGTGACTGTGGATTTCAAAGCGATTGGTTTTGCAATCTAGCTCTGTTTGACAACAAAATTCCTTGGTTGACAAATTCTGTTTGAAGTATTTAAAAGAGAGTCTGCTATCATTATTGATTAATGCTTTGATTTGAAATCATAAGGAATAGTTTGGAATCTGTCTCCCTTTTAGACTGTTTTTTAAAGATCTTATTAATTTTCTGCATAGAGGGTTTTATTATGTGTGAAAAAGCAATTAAAGTTGTGCATTACTAGATTTCAACTTGTTTCCTTTTTATTTCTGCTGAATGAAAAGTGCTGGTTTTAAGCACTAGGAAAGCTCTGAAAAGGTCTCTTTCTAGTTTCACTGTCAACCAAGAAAAATCACTAATGTTCTTTTTATTATATGATACATGTAAAAATCTCACCAGGATTTAACAAGCTCTTTGTAAGCAGAAATCTCTGGAGGCCCTTGTCTTGTTTAGTAGTGAATTTTCATTCAGATAATGAAGCAAACCACTAGTTTTTCCAAGCCAGCCATGCTAGAAAGTTAACAAACACATTGGCAAAAGTCTTATTTTTCAAATTTCTGGTCTTACAGGGAAATCCATTATGGTTTTTGTTGATCATCTGTAGGAAGTTCTTTGTGGTAATTTAAATTTTTCATGAATGCCTAAAATATGCTGGGCAGTTATCATTTTAGAACACCCTCAAGGAGTCTGTGGGACTGTCTTTAAATGTTAAGGATCAAAATATCACACCAGTGAATTGATGATTCATTAGTGTTTGTCATGTTTGAACAATGTTTTGAGCCAGCTGGGTTTTATGCATGTGTGCCTCTGTTAGTTTGGGCCTCAAATTTTCATTTAAGAAAAAAAATGAAAAACACAGGAACTATAGCCTTTGTTGTTTGATTGGATATGGTCTAATTGGTTAATAAGAAGCTAGTTTTGGTCGAAGAAGGGTACTTGATGTTGCATTTAAGCCAGTAAATGTATATGACTCAATTAACAGCTCTCGGGCTCAGAAAACATTCTAAGTCCTGCTTACTCCTTTGAATGGGATCAGAATCTTCTATCATGAGCTCTGTTTATCATGATATATTTATGGAAAAACTAGTACTTTTTATTGAAGATTTTTTGTCCTTTTATACAATGCACAAAGGCAAGATTTTCCTTGGAGATGGAATGTGAGGAAGTAGGAAATTAACCCTTTTTTTAATCACTTTTTTCATGATGTTATCCTATGAAATGATGCTCATAGTAGAATGATCAGACACCATTTTTTACATCCAACCTAATTTAAGAAGTTTTGTGGAAACTGTGCTGGATAATTTTTCATTTTTGGGGGGAAGTGCTTTTTGTCTTTGAAATCTTTCTTCTGTCAGATTTATTTTTTTCCAAAAAATAATAACCTAAGGGCATGTAAATGATGTTGGATCATTTTTAAAGTATACTACACAAGCTTTTGAAACATCAAAAGAAAACTTGAAACAAGGTTGTAAATGAACATATATGATAAAACTGTTGCAAAGATTATTAGTATTATAAGATCATTTTACTACAATCAGCTGAAAGTTGGATTAGTTGTTTTTCATATTGCCATATGCTTCAGGATACATCAAGGGGCTTCACTGCTGTGTATGTTTTTAACTTGTTGAAACTTTTGTGTATTAGTAGAGATGTTTGTATCATGACTTATTTTGAGTTCAATCTTTTTGTACCAGTTGGCGACAAAGTTCCTGCTGATATAAGGATAACTACAATAAAATCTACAACACTAAGAGTAGATCAATCAATTCTTACAGGTAATGTCTTTGAAAAAGTTGTTGATGATTCGATGCTAATTCTGGGTGGTGGGGTATTATTCCTTAGTGGAAGTTCAACATTGAAGTTAGAAATGGACAACTATAGACCTGATTATGTTTTTTCTTTGCCGCATCTCCTTTAAAAGTTGAATGGCTTTGGCTGGTTAAAAGGCAATTTAAGATAATCTAGATGCAAATCAAAGTGTATCTAGGCAGTTCAAGGGGTGAAATCTAAGCACCTTCATGGTATGATTTTTACACTTAACCCTTTAACTCCCAAGATCTGATTGTTAATTCTGCCCTCTAACTGGTACACATTTCCTTTTAAATAAGTTCTGAGAGTTTGGTGTTAGATCAAGGTAACAACTTTCTTATAAGTCTCAGTATTTTCATTATCTGTTGGCTGGATAATGTACAGATATATATGGGGAGAAGTTACAAGTAAATCACTTCTGAGAGTTACAGGGTTAAGTCATAGGTTAATTTCACATACATGTGAAAGGCAGTTGAATAGCATTTGGAAAGCTTATGAAAAATGTTATCCCTTTCTTACAGTGTTTTCACATGGTTTTGAATTAGTTAAAATTTTTAATAATTGGTCATGGTTGTTTTGCTCATATGTGTGAGTGACTCCTCAATATTTTTCTCATCAGGTGAAAGTATTAGTGTGATAAAACACACAGATCCCATTCCTGATCCAAAAGCTGTTAATCAAGACAAGACAAATATGTTGTTTTCAGTAAGTGCATTTTTACCTCTTACTACTGAGTTGGAGATCCGTACAGTAAGTTATGGACCAGGAAGTTTTTTCTACTTGGATTTTTGGCATGAAGCCATAAATCCAAGTGGAAAAACAAGTTTCTGTAACTTACAGTATGGATGGAGAAAATTAGGTTTGTAAGTTATTACTTAAGTCTCTGGGTTTAAATTGAGGGGGAAGATTCAATTCAAACAAACTTTTAAATTTAGTGGTTCTGCAACGTGAAATAAAACCCACTAAATTGATCAAGCATAGTGCACATATTAACAGAGAGGTAAAATAATCTTAGTAACAACCCTTATGCTTGGAAAAAATCAGGTAAAACTCTTGCTCTTGCTCTTGCCCTTGCACACAAGTAGATGTAAGGCATGCAATTAATGGTACCCTTTCACCTTTCAGCATATTGTGGTTAGTTATCTTCTCTTATACAACTTTGTTCCACTATTTCAGTATTTTAGAGAGGTCCCATAAAATTAAGCAATAGACTATGTACACTTTTTATCAGTTTACCTGTGTAATAATCAATGCAGGATGTAGGACAAATGCTCAAAAATTTTGTTAATCACTGGCCTCCTGTTCATGAAACTTTTTGAATGTTTTTCCAACATCCCATGTGGGTTATAACACAGGTTAACTGATAGAAAGTGCAATTTGTTGGTTTTTATAAATTAGTATTCAATTATCTATGGGTTTATCGTTCAAATAAAGTATAGGTTTTTGACCAATCAGGTTGCTCATAGTATCATAAATATAGTATAATTTATTTTGTCTTATGTAAAGTCAAGTAAACCTTTAACTTGTATGACTTTTTACCTGGATGTTATTTTGTTTAGGGTACAAACATTGCTGCTGGAAAAGCATCAGGCGTAGTCATTGGAACAGGGCTGAACACGCAAATAGGTAAATACTTCATACTTGTGCTAAATGTTAAGAAGTGTTTTACTTTTACTAACAAATGACATTGTTTTTCTTTAATTTTTTAGGCAAGATCAGAGATGAAATGGTTGATACAGATGAAGAGAGAACTCCACTTCAACAGAAACTTGATGAATTTGCTCAACAGTTATCCAAGGTATGATGTCCATGACTGTTTTTCCATATTTTAATTTTTTAGGTTAGATTAAAGTAAACCTTTTTAATATTTCTTATTTTCAACACTGAATTTCAATAGTTCCAGAAGTGGACTGAGCACTTGATTATCTCATAACACCAGTGTTTTCTCCTTTTCTCTCCCATCCATTTAAGGTAATCACAGTTATTTGTATTGCAGTATGGGCCATTAATATTGGCCACTTCAATGATCCAGTCCATGGGGGATCCTGGCTAAAAGTGAGTAGTCTTTTGAAATACAATTTGGAGTCAGAGGGGTGTAGTTATTAGTAGGGTTTGCAAATGTACATTGTTCACATTTTCAGGCTGTAACTAGTAAAATTTACTGCCTATAATACCTCTTATTGCTGCCTAAAATTGCTTGGAATTCTAGAAAATTCAACAGGAAAAAGGATTGCTCTACTGGTTTTGAAAATTTCTTTTACTTATTGAACTTAAAATAAGGGAGGACATTGCAGAGTGTTTGTACCATGGGGAGATGAATTATATTTTATGTTAGTATTTGCAACTTTTTCTCAGCAATTTGATTATCTAAACTGTCCTTCAAATTAAGTCATAAGCTGCATTTTGGTTATAAGGCTAAGATATTGCATCTGATGTATTGCATATTGTAGATTAAGTTTTTGCCTTTATATAAATTCTTTTAATTTGATTGATAACTCGATGAACTGTGATGAAAGATAGTACACTGTAATTGCTGACCAACTTGTATCTATATTTTTGTTGTTTTTGTTTTATTAGGGAGCCATATATTACTTCAAGATTGCAGTTGCCTTAGCTGTTGCAGCAATCCCAGAGGGGCTTCCAGCTGTTATAACCACTTGCTTAGCTCTTGGTGAGGACATTTATTTACGATTACTGATATTGTCCTTTCTGTCTCTTATACTATTCTTGAAATGTTAGTTTGGAGAATTTGGTTTTGGATCAACTAATAAACCCCCTATTGATATTTTTCTTTATTCTCATCACTTGTCCACTTGATATTGTATTTCTATTGTAAGGAGATGTTCTGTCTTTGTCACTCATTGGAGTTAAAAAGTTTGGCAACTTTAAATCTAATGTAGTGAGCAACCTTGAATTTTGAATAGAAATAATTCAACATGCACAGCAGTAAAGTCATATCTTGTGGTTGTAATGTTACATTCTATTTGGTTCAGGTACACACAGAATGGCCAAGAAAAATGCCATAGTTCGTAGTCTTCCTTCTGTTGAAACACTTGGCTGTACATCAGTCATTTGTTCAGACAAAACAGGAACACTGACCACAAATCAAATGTCTGTCCACAAGGTAATGAAAAAAGTAATTTTTTTATTGACTATGGTGATAAATGGAGACTGTTTCTTTTTGTGAAATGGCATGAATTGGTTCTGAACTGTTCATTATGATGAATTATTCTTTGTGTGAATCTATGAATCTTTTGTTATTGATGCAGCTTACAATGTTTGTTTTTTGTTTAGTTTTTTGTTTTGAGTGACGTAAGGAGGGATCATGCAACATTCCATGAATTTGAAGTTGAAGGAACTACCTATACACCCAGTGGAGATATGCAAGTTTTTTCTTTTTGTTGTTAGGTGCATGCACCTTTGGGTCATTGCAAGGAAGTTGAGCAGCTTAGACCTTTTATTCTAACTCAACCATAGTTTTCAGCAGCCAAGAAAAAAAAGAGATATAGCATCAGAACATGTTTTTCAACATCTTTTAGAAAGGTTTCATCTGCAGTCGTTCAGCATGTAACAGTACTTGACATTTCAAGTTAACCTCAGAACATCTAGTATCTAATTTCTCCTTACAATACCACCCCTAATTCACTCATCAAAGGTCATGAGAATAAAGGAAATGATCACTTGATTTGCCTTGTCAGCACCTTAGGAAATTTGTAGAGAAACAGTATGGAGAATATGCACACTGATGTGAGTGCAAAGGGTTAATCAAGAGCAAAGTGGTTTTAGTGTAATTTCACTTATGTTGTAATAATTTAATATGCTTCATCAATGTTCAGAGCTTGAACATACTTAATTTATTTCTGAACTCATTTTTCCAGAACTCTGAATGGAAAGAAAGTAGATCCGCAAAACTATGAAGTACTTCCAGAGTTTGCCACTATTTGTGCCATGTGCAATGATTCCAGTGTAGATTACAATTCAGTAAGTGCATGACAATTGCAGCAAGGTTTTTATTATAATTTTACTCTTTAACCCTTTACAGTGACTAGCTCCTGGTTTCTCCTCATTATATTAACCCAAAATCACACATTAAGGTCTCAAGAATATTGGAAATATTCACCAACTAAAGAAGCTCTTGGTTGTTCAACAAATTCTCCTTGTCAGCACCTCAGGAAATGTATAGAGAATGGTATGGAGAGGATGCATACTGATGCTAGGGTGTAGAGGATTAAAGCAACACTGGAAATGATGTTATTCCGTGTTTCACCTGAGATCATCTCATTGATTACAACTTTTTATCAACTGATCCAGTGCTTCCTAATTTCAAACTTTTTTCAATCATCAGTAAAACCAACTCAAAGGATAGCCTTAAACCTCTGTGCTGTCACCCAATCGTCTTATTACATGTTTATTAAACAGTAACTCAACTTGTTTTATTATTTGTTCTTAGGTGAAAAATGCCTATGAGAAAGTTGGCGAATCTACAGAAACTGCTCTAACAGTTTTAGTGGAGAAACTCAACGTGTTTGGTACAAATCTGGCTGGAAAATCCAAAGCTGAACTGGCTAATGCCTGTAATGATGTGATCAAGTCTCATTTTAATAAGGTAATACAGTCCTTGATTGCTTGTGGAAGACCTGAATTAAGCCAACAGTTAAGTTTCCTTTGTCATGTTCAAGACTACACTGGATATACAGGAAGCTTCCAGTTGTAATGAATTGAGTTTTATACTGATAGTGGCCTCTGTTTCCACCTTGAAAACTGACATTAAAATTGATGACGAACTCGTTTATAGTCATTACATGGCTGCCTGCTGCGAATTTTTTGAACTGAGTGTTAGGATCTTGGGAATTAAAGTCTACAAAAGTTTGAATTGTTGATTACTTTTGCAGGAATTTACCTTGGAGTTCTCTCGCGACAGAAAGTCAATGAGTGTGTATTGCACTCCAAGAGTTGATGGACCAAACTCTGTACATGATAAGAACCCAAAGATGTTTGTCAAGGTAAAAACAAATTAAACCCTGCTTGATTTTGTCAGTTTGCTTCACATTTCCCTAGATATTAAGGTTAACTTTGTCGTGTTTTATTTCTAAAATAGGGAGCACCTGAAAGCATAATTGACAGATGCAGCTTCATCAGAGTTGGCGACAAGAAACAACCGCTGACACCAAAAACTAAACAGCAAATTCTGGACTTGGTGAAAAGTTATGGAACAGGTTAGTTTTATAAACCAGCAAAGGGAAGGGTTATCTTGTTATCTAAGCAATTCTGTACATCCAGTGCAGCCTTTACTGGATTGTCAAATTCCCTAGACCCAAATATCATTTCTCTGCACTTCCTTACATACATCTCTATTAATTTCAGCTTGGTGTGAAATCAGTCAGTAATCATTTACTGATCTGTTTTCTCTTACTATCACCTTTTTGCTTCAAAATGTAGCTAAAGGGCTTGCCTTTGAATCTCTGTTTATAAATCTGTGCTTGGACAAATGTTAGTCAAAACTAGCTCAATTATTTATTGTCACTTTTCATTGATAACATTCCTTCAGGTGCAGACACCCTCCGCTGCCTTGCGCTGGCTACAGTTGATGAGCCGCTTTCACCCAGCCAAATGGAATTAGAAAAAGCTGAAAAGTTTGCGGATTATGAGGTTATTGTTTTATTGTGAATCTTGGAAAACCATGAATGTGTGAAATACTCTTAAGTATGAATGCACGAATCAGCTAAGACAACTGAGGTTGTTTGTTTGTTTGTTTTTTCACTTACACATCCCGATCTCCTATTTGATTGATTGTAGAATGAAAACATTTCCTGGACATATTTGTATTTTCCAAGTTTGATGTATTACCTCAGTTTGCATTCATTTATTTATTTATTTATTTATCTGAAAGCAATATTTGATTAGGCTAGCCCAGTTCAGCTTCAAGCTGGTTTAAATTGGGGCCTGCAACACATTGGACATTGGCAGAGTCGATGATGATTGTGTGATTCCCCTTCACTTGTCTTTAATAAGTGAAATACCCACCCACCATTCTGAATACTACTGCCAGACTCTGAAATAGTGGGTTGCTTCAATGGAATTTTGATGGTTATGTATCATTTATCACAAACCTTTCTTGTTTTCAGAGCAACATGACATTTGTGGGTGTGGCAGGCATGTTAGATCCACCAAGAACAGAGGTGAAAGACTCCATCAAGAAATGTGGTGCTGCAGGAATCAGAGTTATTGTCATTACTGGTGATAACAAGGTATGTAAAGGGTCCATCAGTTTTGTCTTGTAAAGAGAGTAAAAATGGTTATTTAGTAACAGTGCACTGTTTTATTGTGCAGGCAACTGCAGAAGCTATCTGTAGACGTATTGGAGTTTTTGAGCCCAATGAAGACACAACAGGTATTACACTGTTTATCAACAGCTATGCATTTTTACTCATTTATTCTTTGCAAATTTAGTTGCATTGAGAAAAATATCTCATATTCTTTGCAACAGGCTTGTCTTACTCTGGTCGTGAATTTGATGAGCTGACTCCAGAAGAGCAGAGAGAGGCTTGTTTAAATGCTAGGTGGGTTCCACTCCAAATATAGCTTGATAATAGTGTTTTGTGCATCATGACACATATATAATTAATCTGTGTATGTTATTCAATTATGATTAATATTTGTATGTTCTGTTTTTAGATTGTTTTCACGAGTTGAACCAGCACATAAGAGCAAGATTGTCGAGTACCTCCAGGTGGAAGGTGAAATTTCTGCCATGACTGGGGACGGAGTGAATGATGCTCCTGCCTTAAAGAAAGCTGAGATTGGAGTTGCCATGGGATCTGGAACTGCTGTGGCTAAATCTGCATCTGGTATCCTTTCATATGTTTGTCACCAAACTTCTAAACTTTGATAGACATCCACAACATATGCACTTTTTTTTAAGTAGGGCAAAATGATGTAAAAGTCTATCCATTCTCAGAGTCCTAATGGTGGGCTTTGTCATTAGCATTTTGCTCTGCAATTTTCAGAGAGGTTTTCTCTTTGATTCTTGTCAGACTAAATGCAAGACTCTGTTTCACTTTACTACAAGGAAGAATGAGACACTCTGATTGCTCTGATTTAATTTTGATTTAGTTCTATCAACTCTTTTTGGCCATTCTTTGATCTACTGTCTTTTATCTTTAAGAAGAGCTTATGACTTGGGTTCCACAGGGTAACCTCATCTCGTTCTCACACAAAGACATTGATTGATTGATTGATTGCAGTTTTTAAGTGGTCACTCTCACTTGTTTACTTAAAAATTTATGAGTTTGTACCCCTTAACCTGATGTTAGAAATGGTATTAGCTGATGACAACTTTTCAACAATTGTGGCTGCTGTGGAAGAAGGGAGATCCATTTATGATAACACAAAACAGTTTATCAGATATTTGATCTCCTCAAATATTGGAGAAGTTGTGAGGTTAGTTGTCATATTTGCAGTGTTCTTGGTACATGCATATACTTACTACCAATCAGTAGCAAAGACAGTAAAAAAGATACATGTGTTTCATGTGACTACAAAAGAAATAAAATGTATTCCATTGATGGAAATCTTTAAGAGCGTGTTAAGTGTTATTTTGTATGATTAATAGTGTTTATCTGAGCCATCTAGGACTCATTTGTAAAGATTTAAATATTTTCTCTTTTGGCACACATTTTGGTCATTTACTGTCTTCATTCAAAAGATAATAGCAAATTTCTAGAAGTTAGTTTGTCAGCTAGGTTTGCATGAACAAACTTCATTATCTAGAAGGAAGAGCTTTATTCTGATGAGATCTTTTTGCAATCACAAGTGGAAAGCATACCAAATAAGGCTCTATAACTTTGTCTCACCTGGAAGGTTTTTTTTTTTTTTTAAGATGTTATACTAATCAGATTCTTTTTGCATGTGCAGTATTTTCTTGACTGCTGCTCTGGGTATGCCAGAAGCCCTCATCCCAGTTCAGCTTCTGTGGGTAAACCTTATGACAGATGGCCCCCCTGCTACAGCCCTCAGCTTCAACCCCCCTGATGTAGACATTATGATGAAGCCACCCCGCAAGGCTAAGGAGGCTCTCATCAGTGGCTGGCTATTCTTTAGATACATGGCTATAGGAGTCTATGTCGGAGTTGCCACTGTGGGAGCTTCAGCTTGGTGGTTTATGGTTTATGAGAATGGTCCTAAAGTTTCCTATTATCAGTTGGTTAGTAGATGGATTTATATGATGATGATGAGATGAATTGCACACACACTTTGATTGGTTCTTATGATCTATTGGTTCTTACTTATGATCTATTGGAAGACAGAGGCATAAATGACATCACTATGAACATCTTTTTTATTTTTGATCATATAAAACAGATATAATTTATGTTGCTGTTCATCTGTTTAGTAATAGATCACAGAAGACTTAAAATGTGATAAGAACATCAGTGTCACACTCAACTGTGCCTTGTGTACCACATTTTTTTCCTTACCACATTTTTATGTAATCTGTGATATAATAATGAACAGATGCACTGCATAGAATCTGTTTTAAATGGTTTTACGTAAAAGTTAGTGACATCTTAAATGCATATTGAAAGTACCTTTAAAAATTGACTCTATCATAATTCAGATTTATCAATTACACCCTAAACAAAGGCTAAAGATGTACATAGTCCATACACCATTTCCTTTGCAGTTATCAGAGATCAGAGAATTCTCTGGCTGATTTTTATTTCTATTTTTTATGGTTAATTTTTTTACCTAAATTATCTTTGTGGTATGTAATTTCTTAAATCTGGTATCAAATTCAGTTCAAAACTGCTCTTGACCACCTTTGTCCATATTCTTTGCAAGGTCTTGTCAGAGATAATTACCAACCTTAGTTTTGGTTTGAACTAAAGATATCCTTGGTTTTGTTCTTGTTTAGACACACCACATGCAGTGCACAACAGATCCATCAAACTTTGTTGGTGTTGAGTGTCAGGTGTTTAGTGACCTTCATCCAATGACTATGGCTCTGTCAGTACTTGTCACAATAGAAATGTTTAATGCTCTTAACAGGTAAGTCTACAGTGTGGGTTTCCCGTGGTCACTCGTCAACATCTGTTTCTTATTCTAGCCATATGAATACATTATTGTGCATAACAATTATGAGAAATAACCACATAAGATGATGAGAAATATCAGTTGCCTGAAATAACTCCTGCTATTGTTTGGCAAATGGAAATAAATATATTCAGTTGTTTTCTTTTTGTTTTTTGAATGGTAAAACCTCCCAAAGAAGATAATAGTTGTGCTGAAAGAAGTGACCAAAGTTAGGAGAAATTTTTGTCTTTTGCATATGTGAATGACAATTACTTTCACTTTCTGTTTGCAGCTTGAGTGAAAATCAGAGCCTTTTTGTAATGCCACCATGGAGGAATCCTTCCCTTATCACAGCAATCATAGCATCATTTGTCATGCATTTCGTCATTCTTTACTTCAAGATTACAAATGTAAGTGTTTGTGACATAAATTTATTGCAACAGAGAAGACTACCATGTACTCCGATCTAAACAGTGTTTTTTTTTTTCTGCTTTGTGACTCTCAAATTCAAAACTCATGGGAACTACTAAGATGTGCATCAACTAGAGAAAGCTGTGATGAGATCAGCCAGATCAGTCCTAATTATTTGAATGCATTGTTCATTTTGACTAAGAAAAATGAGAAAGTACTTCTGTTCTAATGGAGATCTCTTCCCAGGAATTTTTTTAATATTTCAAAGCTTGCGCATAACTGCAAATGATGGTGATATCCAAGCAATAACTTTTTAACGGTGTATTTTTTCTTATTGATTACTTTTTGCATCCTTAACTGAGTTGTTTTTGTTGCAGACAATCTTCCGTATCACTCCTTTGAACTGCGATGAGTGGGTTGCAGTTCTTTACTTCTCCTTCCCGGTCATTATACTGGATGAGATTCTCAAGTTTGTTTCAAGACAGATAGGTATTTACTCCTTATTCTACTGTATGTGGTAGATATTTTATCTAGATAATATAACTCCCTAGGGGAACTCTTTAATTGTTTATTTTTACAAAATGTAAATAAACCAGCCAAACTGAGTTTGGAGAGTGATCTTCCCACCACTTGAAGGTTTTCAACTACAGTAGCAATGTACTTGTTACGGTGTTGAAAAAGAGAAACAAGCATTTACTATAGTCTGCCTAGCAGCTGTATTTCCAAACCAGTAAATGTCTAATATTTCCATCCATGTTGAAGCTGTCATTTCAGATTCAAGGAAAGCCTGGAGTTTAAAAAAAAAACCCAGGAGATGTGACAAAGGACTT